CTGCCCCCATAGGCTATGAGTCCGTCAGCCCCGCCAGATTGCTGGCATGAGGAGGCGACTCCCTCTGTGGCTTCAGTGGAGTTTATCCACCTGGGGAAATTGACTTGTAGGTCACAGCTCATGTTCCAGTTCCTTCTCCCCAAATCTACAGTGGCTCTGAGAGCCTGATAGATAGAGAGCGGTTAGAGGGAAAGAGCCTGATAGAACTGAGAAGAAAGCAAAGAGAAATTAGAAAAGGAAACTGGTAGAAATAGGTGAAAATGAAACAAACCCCATTTTACTGCAAGAGGCCAAATTTCATAGAACAAACCTAAAATATCTTCCACCTTATTGAAATTTGATTAAGCTGTCGCTCTAACTACTAAGTCTCCCAACTGACTCCCCATCTCCAGCCTAAGTATCTCACACCCTGTTATCTCCAGCTGCTGAGACTCCATTTAGACAAACTTAACTCTAAAACATAATCTTGGGAAGGTGGGAGGCCAGTCTGTGTCCTAGCCACAGCCAAGCAACTTAGAGGTAACTGAGACCATCAGCCACTAATGATTAACTCAGCACAAAAATGGATTTAGAAGCTTCCGTGACGCCTCAGTAAGTCATACACGGGCATCTCTATTCTGGGACCCGCCATAGCTGTGCTTCTCAGGATCCATACTACCACTCGCTATCTGAGTGACTTGCAGCAAGTCGCTCTTTTCCTCACTATAGACCTCAGTCCCTCATCTCAGGATGAGACCAGGCAATCTCTAGAGTCCCTTTCAGCTCTAAAATCACATGAGTCTAAAAACTGTCTTAAGCCCGGCCGGGCATGGCTCAACGGTTGAGCGTCGACCTAGGATCCAGGCGATCGGGGTTCGATTCCGGGTCAGGGCACATGCCCGGGTTGCAGGATCGATCCCCAGTTGGGGGCGTGCAGGAGGCAGCCAATCAATGGCTCTCTCATCACTGATGTTTCTCTCTCTCTCCCCCTCTCCTTTCCTCTCTCTGAAATCAATAAAGATATATTTAAAAATAAATATAAATAAATAAGTAAATAAATAAATAAATAAAAATTGTCTTAATGTTCCATTTTTCTTCTCCTTAAAGTAATCTGTGAGATTATTTAAGGAGAAAATTTTATTGGACTCTAATTTTTTTGTAGGGGGCTTCAGGGAAAGTATTAGAGATGCTCAGTAAATTAATTGTTATAATTTGAGGCTAAGTTTTTTCACTGCTACAAAGCCCTGAAACCAAGGCGGGAAAGAGGGGAGCTGAGGTAATATAAACTAAGAGTAACTTCAACTTAATATAGTCTGTTGAACTCAAACTGGCTAGGATGTTCTTCTCAAAGATTATCTTCAGTGTCCTCTTAGATTAAGCCATTACCCACATTCACCCTTTCTCAAATGACAAGAGGCCTAGGTGGTCTTAGTTACACCGCAGAGCCCTGTCCACCTCCTTCCTTTCACAATACTCCTCTCATCTTTCAGTCTCCATCTCATCATCTTTAATCAGTCTCATGGCTCTACTCTACATATTTCCTCTTGAGGTAGATCCCATGGCCCAAGAGCAGCTGAAGATCACAAATAAGGAAACTGAATCCCAGAATCCGTGCCCCAGTGCGGACATCCACCAGGAAGACAACTGGGTGATTCATAAAAATAAGATGAATCTTTTACAACTTCATACCCTCATTCACAGCTTCACCATACAAGAAATGGGGGAGTGTCACACCTAACAAACCAGAGAGAAAGAAAACAAAGGCCAGGAAAGGACATACACAAGGGCTGAACATATTCAGGTTTCAATTTACAACTACTGAGAGGCAGTTTAAAATTTTACAGTTTTCTTTGCCGTCTACTTTGTCATGCTGACCAATGTGTGTGTTGAAACCATACTGCTACCACCTACACACTTTGTCCACCACTCACTCTTCCCACAAGAAGTGCACAGGACAGACACCTCAGAGGAAGTTATCGAGAAGAAGCTATCAGTAAAACCAGGGCCAGAGCTGAGCCAAGAATTAAAGTCTCCAGACTGCTGGCACAAAGCTCCTGCCCTAATCTCTAGTCTGAGCTATGGTTTATATTTTCTACGTTATTATCCAAATGCTCTCTGAGCTACAGCCTGAACCTGTTTGCCCTTAATCTGAATGGACTTCAGATTAAGAAGAGTTGCTATTGAATTCTTGCAATAGAGGTAAATCTAAGAAACCATAGTGTCACCTGGAGGAAGAGGTCCCACCTTGGAAGCCTAGCAGTACTGCCGAATCCCCTTCCCAGCCCTCCTTCCCATGCCCAAGCCTCTTCCCACAGCTTACAAATAGTACCTAGTGGCCCCACCTCTCCATCCCAAAGCAATTTACCCAGCCATCAACATCAACTTTGTTCAGAATCCTTCAGCTCTATGCAGCTCAGGAAGAAACCGTGTTAGAAGAAATTGTGTTGTTAAGTGGATTTGGTCTAGAAAGTTCTCTGCACCATGCTCTATCCTGCCAAAAATAGTCAGTAGAACATAGCTCATCTGGAGTTAGAAGACCAATCATTCTTCCTTTTTCTTTTTAATTGAATTTATTGGGGTGACACTGGTGAATAAAATTATATAGGTTTTGGGGGTACAATTCTAGAATACATCATCTGTACACTGTACTGTGTTCACCACCCCAAATCAAGTCTCCTCTGTCACCATTTACCCCCCCTTTACCCTCTTCTACCTCCCCCGCTTTTCCTCAAGTGATCACCACACTGTTGTCTGTGTCTATGAGTTTTTTGTTTGTATTTTAATTAATCCCTTCACCTTTTTCACCCAGTCAGACTGTTCTCTATATCTATGAGTCTGTTTCTATTTTGTTTGTTAGTTTATTTTGTTCATTAGATTCTACATATGAGTGAAATTATATGATTGGTTGTCTTTTTCTGACTGGCTTATTTCACTCAGCACAATACTCTCCAGGTCTCATTCTTCCTTTTAAGTGTCTTTTTTCTTCTTTTCTTGCTGTTATTTTCCTTCTCCAGACTTCAGTTCCCCACATTTGCGGGCATCATAACATAGCACAGCAGCCCCACACCTAGCTGTGCAGCAGAACCATCTGCCCAGCTGATAAGTATTGCAGGCATCAGGGGATCAAAGGCAAAAGAAACTCTTTATGGTTATGGAAATGTTTCATATCTTTTTTTTTTAAACATGTTTTATTGATTTCAAAGAGAGCAAGGGAGAGGGAGATAGAAACATCAGTGACAAGAGAGAATCATTGATTGGCTGCCTCCTGCACTCTCCCTACTAGGGATCAAGCCCAAAACCTGGGCATGTGCCCTGACAGGGAATCGAACTGTGACCTCCTGGTTCATGGGTTGATATTCAACCACTGAGCCATGTTGGCCGGGCAAAATGTTTCATGTCTTAACTGTGGTGATATTTACACAATTGTATACAACTATTACATTTCATCAAACTAAATGAAATGGGTGAATTTTATTTTATATAAATCATACCTCAGTAAACCTGGGAAAATGAAAACACTCAGGGCCAGGCACCACCTCACATCTATAGAGTCAGGGCCCAAGGAGCAAGAATTTTAATGAACTTCATAGGTGACTCTGATGCACAGCTAAATGCAAAGTCTGCTTAGAACAATGAAAAGCGCTCACATCCTTAAAATCAGACAGAACAGGGTGCAAATATATTTACCAGAAACATAACCCTAGGCAAGTTATAAGTCTCAATTTTCTCATCTGTAACAAGGAGATAGTAATTGTACATACCTCCCAGGGTTGTTAGGTTTCAATGTAAAAGTATATAAAGCACTTAGCAAACAGCCTCGCCTATAATAAGCACTCAGTAACCATTAGCAGCTATTATTTCCATTGACCGTACCAACGCTACCAAACTATACTTCTGTAAGTCCTTGGTTCAGAGGTCAAGAAGAAAGTCAGCCATGTAGATTATACCAGGAAGCACAGCCACAGGTCTCTCCTGAAGCCATTTCCACATTTCCAGTAATGACTATTACCAACTATTACCAATAAGTCACCAAGGACTAGGCAAAACCAGAGCTAAATTAAGGCCCATCCACATCTATACCATCAAAACTTCCCCTCAGATCCTGGACCACTTGATGAGTAGATTCTCCCTACAGCTGTTTAGAGTGCCCTAGCCCAGGAAGCCAGGCAGAAACTGAAAATAAACTTGAAGCCCAAAAATGTCAAAAGATAGAATAGCACATTATCCGGAGTAAAGCTTGGCTTCCCTCAGGACTCTTCCTCTGAGGGTAGAAGACACCATGCCTAGATACAAGAGAATAATCGCCCATGGCATTTGTGTTGCACTTTAATGCTTACAAAGTGTTTCACATCCCTCATCTCCTTTAAGATAACAACCCCTGAATAGTAATAACAGCTCTCATCCCTTGTTTA